CTCCCCCCCCCGCACTCCCAAACCCTCTCCCAACCCATCATGACCACCTCCACCATCCCCACCACCCGTCCCACCTATTCCCAAGCCACCTCGGGGGTTTACCCCGCAATGCCACAACTCCCCCCCAACCACCTCCTTGAGGACAACAACCAAATCGACGACACCTGCTACGACACCACCCCCGATAACCTCAGCTTCCACACCCTCTCGCAGATCGTTCACCGCGACGGGGATATCCTTCGTTCCTTTCGATCCGGCGAAATCATGTCCTTCTCCGGCCTCCCCCACGAGGACGTTTTCCTCTTCCTAACCCAGCTCCAGAACTCTTTTCACCTCCACCACATGCCCCTTGCCCACTGGCTCCCCATTGCCACTTCCCGCCTCCTCGGCAATGCCGCCAAATGGTGGATGGCTGAAGTCAGCAACCGCCGAGCCTCTGGAGGACCACGACACTCCTTCCTCCAATGGGCCAGACTTCTCGCTGCCACCGTCCGCCCCCAGAAAACCATTGACGACTACCTCGAACAATTCTGCCACCTCCGCCAAACCGATCCCACAGACCGCTTCGTCCAATACATCCGCTCCCTCCGCCATCACCTCCCCACCACGGTCATTCCCGACTTTGCGTTCATCTCCCGCATCAAGCGAGTATGCCACAAAGATCTTGCCACCGCCCTCGCCCACGAACCCGAAATGCCCCTTGCTGACCTCCTCTCTCGCATGCTTCACCACAATCGACTCCTCCACCCCCATCACCAGTCCGCGCCCGCTCCCTCCCGCCCCCTCTTTTTCCATAACACTTAACCCACCTCCGATGACGACTTCGACACTTCCTCTCTCGACCCCTCCCAATTCACCATCGAGGACCTCGAGACCGCCCACCTTATACGGATGGAACGCCAGGATCGTGCCTCTCGACCCCCTTCTTCCTCTCCACCCCGCCGCCTCCAGAAACTCACACCCGCAGAACGCATATACCTCCAGGAACACAACGGGTGTTTTCGTTGCCGCCAGTTAGGTCATCAACAGACCAACTGCCCCAACGCTAGCCACTTTACTCGTCAGGCCCCTCGCTCCACGGGACCCGACCCTTCTACTCCCACTCCTCCCTCCACCTGAACACTGTCCACCCACTCTTCCATGTCGAGTACCTAAATGAATACCATGAATCCCCGCTCCATTTTGCCGACCGCCCATATCCTAGACCTCCACCAATCATGCTACCCACAGGACCTGAATTCGTTGTCGAAACCATCATCGGTCGACGAACCACTCAGGTATCTGATCATCCGGAACCAATCACTGAATACAAAGTCAAATGGACCGGATACCCTAACGAAGAATCTACATGGGAACCTCTCTCTAATCTTAAGAACGCCATGAAACTTGTCCGCGCCTATGATC